TTGGTTAGTTTAAGACCGTTGTTCCCCAACTTGGCCATTTTTAAAAGGGGTGGCCTTCACCCCCAAGATTCCCCCACCAAGCTTTTGGGGATTTAAATTCCACTCATCTTAAAGTGGCCAAGTTTGGACAACACTGGTTTAGAGGCTTCACGTGCTGCATGAACCCATTGCTTTGGTAGTGGAGGGTTCGGAAAATGGGTTATTGTAATAGAAGAACTAGATTAAGTGTATCTTGTGTGAATACAGCCTCTGTGCCGGGAATTTGTTTGCGTCCTCAACCCCAAAGAGCTCAGGTTGACGGCCACCACATTATCACTCTGGCAGAGGTGCGTGCGACAGACTCAAGCATGGTTTGTTTAAGCAGAGTTTCTTGAACAAACAGACATAGCCCACTAGACTGGCTTAAAGTCAGCGACCAGGTTCACATTGCAAAGAAGTGACATGCGCTTTGCTTTAGCCTGTTATGGGAGCCTGGCTGTGACTTTTACAACAACCCTGTGATGTAGGCCAGTTGGAAGGGGGAAGTGACTCAGGCTGAGCCAAATTAGACTTTGGATCCAAACCCCAGGCTGCTGGTTGAGGGAGGCTTTGTTGTGTCATCCCCGTGACAAATGATGGGGCTGAGGTATCCAGGCGGCAGATGGGACGTGACTCATCTTCTGTGGGGCAAATTATGCTCCTTCCGATTCTCCAGAACCATGTGCAGAAGTTCCTCAGGGCAGAAGGTACAGAGGCGAAGTTGGCTGCATCCTGCAAGGAGGAGGCACTCCAACCACCTACTGGCACATCTGGAATGGTGGAAAGGGGTACAGCTGGAACACCTTCCAGGAAGTCCTCGACTTACGACCACAATAGGGACTGGAAAATTGATCGTTGTGGTGCGGTTATTAAGCAAGGCATCACGTGACTGCACCCGATTTTACAACCTTTTTTACCATGGTCATTAAGTGAATCACCACGGCCGTTAAGTGAGACATCATGGGACCGCAACTTGCAAACTTCCCTGCCAGCTTCCCCCATTGATTTTGCTTTCGGAACCTGGCTGGGAAGTTCACAAATGGCAATCATGTGACCACAGGATGCTGTAACCATCATAAATGCATGATGGTTGCCCAGTGCCCAAATCACGATCTCACGACCATGGGGATGCTGCAACAGTCGTAAGTGCAAGGGCTGGTCATAAGTCACTTTTTCCAGGGCCATCGTAACTTTCAATGGTCGCTAAACAAATGGTTGTAAGTCAAAGACTACCTGTAATGGGATCGGGTGAATGCTAGATTACACGGAGCCTCCAGATTCAGGAGCAGGGTACCTTATTTATTGTTTTATCGAATGTCAAGACTGCCCAACCCCAGAGCGACTCTGGGCTGCTTCACAAGTTAGAGAGACAACATATAAAAACAGCCATTGTCCAAGAGACAATATTCCACCACATCACAACCTCTTAGGTTGGGGGTGATGGGAGCATGTGCTTTTTTTCGAATCTGTTCCCTCCGGGCGACTGTACTCTTTTCTTACCTAATGTTGTGTTCTTCTTGCTTTTAAAATCTGGACAGCTGCCCAGGGTCATTTTGCAACTGGGGGGCCCAGAAAGCTGAAAAATAAACAGGCTTTGGCAACGGGGTGAAAAAATAACGCTGGCCTACATCCGAAGACCGTTGTAAGGATTACCGATGAAAGAGGATAGATACGAGCGTGCGTGTCTGGGTTTGTAGGATGACCTACCTTGAACGGCTGTAAAACATTCTGTGTCTGCTGCTTGGGGCTATTTTTGCTGACTTGATTTTGCCAGTTTTGTTCTTTCTGCTAAATAACTGGAGTCGTGCCTGCCCCAGATACTCAGGGCCATTTTGATGGGTCCCGTTTGCACGGATAGAAACAGCTGGATGGGTTGCCTAGTAAAAAAGACGGGCGTCAATTGGGTGCTGCTGAAAAGGTGCACCCTATTCCCGTGTCACCGGCTCTGGCTTTTATTTGCGAAGTGCAAACACTTTTAACCAAGTCTGTGAGTCGTGCGTGTATCGCCGGGCTTGATTTACTTAACTATAGTTTACTGAAATCCGTTAGGCGGCCACTGTGCAGTGCCTCCGTGATGCTAAGTCGCCAATTATTAGTTTACAAATCAAACCCCGTTACGGCTTAATGCCGGTCAAGCTTTTGGGTTCATGGCATTTCTCGCCTGCTTTCTTGGAGTCAGTTTCTCCTCCCTGTCACCAACTACAAAGCTGCTGTTTCAAAGCCTGATATGGGCCATAGGCGTGAGGCTTCGCTATGTAAGTCACTGCAGTGTTTCTCAACCTCGGCTGCTTTAAGAGGAATGGACTTCAACTCCCAGAATCCCCCAGCCAG